AACGGCTCTATGAGAAAGAATCCCATGGGACTTGCTCAAGAATTCTTCTAAAAATCTTGATCCGATGGTGGTCTAGATGCGTATAATGTGAATGACATCCAATTGATTTGTTGCCAAGCCGACTCATCTGTCATGTGGCTTGTCCCTGGAGGTTCGTTCAGTCTTTTAAATAGTTTTTCTAGGGTTCTCACTAGAGACAGCAGTTGGAAGTTGAGGGAATCATAAATGGTTCCACTAGTAGCTTTAGAGTTCAAATTATCTATCCAAGGTTCTTTATTGACTGGCTCTGGAGACGTTAGGTCTTTTGAGAAACAGGTATGGTTTAGAATTTGATAGCATATTACAATAGGCTAAATCTACCCCTATTATGGCAGTTTTGACCATTTTATAAGCTAAGAGAAACACCCACTAACTAAAAAAGTAGATCATAGCTACTCATTTTTAAGCCAATTTTTTTTGTTTCACCATTGTAACCAAATTATGTACAAAATTATCCCTCACCTTTTACGTATAAACTCATATGACTAATCTCTCATTTGAGTCATTTTACTTACAAGAAAGAATATTTAACTTATAAATATCTCATAAGTGAAAAACTACTTATCAAGAATAATCCAATAAGCACCCACACATGGAAAAACCCTCTTTATCTTCTTTGTAGACATATTTAACCACATAATATATTCATGTCACCTCTTGTTTGTAGAACTCTTTGGAAGGAAACCATATGGAAACCCCAAACTGACATCTGGGGCTCTTTTCTTATGAGGCTCAGGGAAAAAGAGGCAGAAAAAAGACAGACATATACCATGAGAGTATGAGACAAGAATGCACTTCTGACAAGAGCAGTCTTCCTAGAAACCAAGTAAAATCATTTCCATGTTCCAAAAAAAATTATTCACTTGAGAAAAAATTTATACTCCGTATGTCGTCAAAATTAGGAATATATACAGCATCCCCCCACCCCATCCAGTTTTCATCTGAAATGAACAAAAACTACACTCCCTCCCTCCAGATTCAGTAGTCCACATCCCATATTCAATAACTTTCAATATAGAATAAATAGATAGATAAAATTGCCTTAAGTATGGAAATAGGGTATGAGCATTACATTAATGAGAAATAAACACGATACATTAGAAATTTTAAACTCAATTTCTAATTTGTTTTTTTTTTTTGAAAAAATTTAAACCAAAACCGTGAGAGTAATTACAAGAAGAAATCAAAATTAAATAGACATGATGCACCTGAATCGAACAAAGGGTTTCAACCCCCGTAATAGAACCTACAAAGATCGAATGGAAGAGAAGAGGAGTTTTGTAAAGCGGCTCAGATCTGTGTTTCCAGAGGGAAAGGAAGAGCCGAAACCGCCATGGCTGCAACAACCGGGTCCAATTCCGGGTCGCCCCGCCAAGATACGGTCGGGTCAAACAAATACCTCAAATTTCAGTAGCCCAGAAAGAGGGAAACGCAGAAAAAAGTATCATCACAGCCTCTAACGATTGAATTGATTTGAGATACGATATAGGGAGTAGTATATCTCAGATTAAGCTGCATGCAGATCTAAATGGTTTTGTTTCTTGTATTTTCCCCTTTATTCTTGTTGAGGTTTCTTTCTGGAAAGAGTTGTGATGAAAAAGGACAGCGCTGTTTGAAAAGAGGCGTATAAAGAGATCATAGGCAGGGGATAAAGAGGCAACTGCCCGATCAAGAAGCTCTCATCTCTCTCCCTGCCTCACTCCTTTCTGGGCTACATATTATCCATTTGGGTATCTTTCCAGGTTTATATACCTGTGTTTTTCTTGGGCCATGCGGTATGCTCCCCTCTTTCCTTCTTCCCCTCTCTTCTCCTTCCACTAAATGCTTTCCATTTTCTCCTTCAATTTTTAATTTAAATAATTAAACATTTCATTAATAATCTAAAGTGAGAAGGTATATATAGTACAACCGGTTGTACCTAGAGATAGGTACATCCAGGTGATACTCATTCTAAAGTAAAGTAGTACTCATTCTCGCACAAACATAACTGTTTATTTTGAAATAGTGTGATACTCATTCTAAAATAACGTAATACTCATTCTGAAATAACGTAGTACTCATTTTCACGCATTTGTTCAACACAATTACGGAGTATAATATTTATCTATGAATAACGTAGTGTTCATTCTGAAACAAAGTAGTACTCATTTTCAAATAACATAGTGTTCATTCTCAAGTGATGTACCATCATTCCCAATAAAGTCACCAAACACAGCCCAATAGCCCAATTCTTTTTTTGTTTTGTTCTTAAAGAAGTCCAATACCCTAAGTCCAAACACACACTTCTTCTTCTTCTTTCTGCACTGGCCAGCGACAAAAACAGAAACTTCGTCCCATCTCCGATCAAGTTCACCATCTGCGATCACGATCACCATCTCATCTCTTCAAACTTAGGGTTTCAACTATCTACAATCAGGTTTCCGCCACTCGATCCACAGTCGGCGATCGCATCTCTTCAAGCTTAGGGTTTCAGCCATCTGCAATTTCCGCCACTCCTTTCTCGATCCAAAGTCGGCTGTACCTTGGAATAGGTACAGCTAGATGTACAATATAATTTGCGAGTGACACATTAAAGTTAAATTAAAGGAAAAAATAAAATTTAAGAAACTTAGTAATTATAAAAAAATAAAATTGAAAGAGACAAAAAAACTAAAGAATGAAATAATAAATGCAAAAAAAGAGAGAAAAGAAAAAAATGAAATAAAAAGAAAAGGGAAAACCATGAAAAAGCACCTAAAGATGCACAAGAAAATAGGGATGCTAACCCGCCTTTCTCGTTGCCGCATAGTGGGGACAGTGTTTCCCTTCCTTCCCCTTGCCAATTGGACTTCCCGCGGGCGCACCGCACGGGCACGACCTTAGAGGTGGCAAATTGATTGGCTGGGTTACTTTGAATTCCAGTTGAGAAGTGTATCTTCATGATCTAGTATCATCGAGTGTGAATCGACCCAACAAGTTTTGACCTCTTTTCACAACAGACTATGACCTATATTTTAAAAAAAATAAATTCATATTAACACTTGAATTTCACATTGAATAAAAATAAATTATCAAAAAAATAAATCTATTACATTATTTTATTTTAAAATTTTAAGTACGAGTAACTTTTAGACATGCTCTATGTAAATCAATATTACGAAT